ATTGATTGATTGATTGATTGATTGATTGACAGGGTCTCCCTCTGTTGCCCAGGCTGGAGTGCAGTGGCACATTCACAGCTCACCGCAGCCTTGATCTGCCAGGCACCATCATGCATGGCTAATTTTTTGTTTTTTGTAGAGATGGGGTCTCTACAGTGGTTTTTGAGATCTGATCTAGCCCAGAGTGTACTGGTACAATCATAGCTCCCTGTAGCCAGGAACTCCTGGGCTCAGGTGATCCTTCTTCCTCAGCCCCCCGAGTAAGTAGGACTATGGGCATGCACCATCATGCATGGCTTATTTTTTATAAGGGGTTTTGCTGTGGGGTCTTGCTGTGTTGCCCAGGCTGGTCTTGAACTTCTGACCTCAAGTGATCCTATCACTTCGGTCTCCCAAAGCTACTAGGATTATATGCTTGAGCCACCGTGCCCAGCCTTAGAATTACTTTTTTTTTTTTTTTTTTTGACACGGAGTCTCGCTCTGTCGCCCAGGCTGGAGTGCAGTGGCTGGATCTCAGCTCACTGCAAGCTCCACCTCCCGGGTTTACGCCATTCTCCTGCCTCAGCCTCCCGAGTAGCTGGGACTACAGGCGCCCGCCACCTCGCCCGGCTAAGTTTTCATATTTTTTAGTAGAGTCGGGGTTTCACCGTGTCAGCCAGGATGGTCTCGATCTCCTGACCTCGTGATCCGCCCGTCTCGGCCTCCCAAAGTGCTGGGATTACAGGCTTGAGCCACCGCGCCCGGCCAGAATTACTTTTTTAAAGGAGTCACATGACCTGAAGCTTAATGGAAAAGGTGTTTGTAAGGACTTCATGATGGAGAAATAGAAGAGTTAGAAGAATATTGTTTAAACTGCTGAAAATAAAACCATGTTTTTAATCTGCTTATTCTGTAGGTGATACTGTGCTTGTCCACCGAGTTCACAGTTATTTAGAGCGTCATGGTCTTATCAACTTCGGCATCTATAAGAGGATAAAACCCCTACCAAGTAAGGACCTCCTACCTGGCTGATAAATTTTACATTTTTAAGTTACGGTTTCAGGACTGCGTATTATGTCTATGATGTTAGGATTTTATTTTGATTCATAAGACTATATTTAAAAATATTTCCAAATTTATCTTACAAGTCAAGTTTAATAAATAATAAAAAATAAAGTCTCTGAATAAATGTGCATTTCCCTTAATTTCTAGTTTGATAGCTACTTAGTAAAAGATACTAGATTTCCAATTTAAAAAAAAGAATAAAACAGTAAATTTGTTAAAAATGAGAGGAGTTCATTTTGAGGTTTTTCTCTCATTGACCCATTCTTTATGTTTTCAACAGTTGCTTTTTTTAATGCTTTAATCATTTTTTCAAAAAGAAATACTAACTTAAGACTACAAGGGTAGAGGTTAAGGGAAATAGCTTATATGCAGAATGTGTCCTAATATAATAATGAAGCAGATTATTAACCAAATTAACTAAGAATCACAGATACTGAAACACATGCCTGAGGTAATGAGAAAATAAATCTTAGGATAGTGGATTTGATTTATAAATGTTCGACACTGAATTTGAATTCATAAGTTTCAGCTATTCGTTCATTTGTTTTCAGATAGTTTTCATATTTTGAAAATAACTCTGAATGTTTTACTTTGTAAGATATTATAAATATGTTAAGAACCTAGAGGTTTTCATGAATAAGACTGTAAGTACAAACTTTTATACCTACAACAAAATACTCTTTTTTCATTTTTTGCTTTTAGCTAAAAAGACAGGAAAGGTAATTATTATAGGCTCTGGGGTCTCAGGCTTGGCAGCAGCTCGACAGTTACAAAGTTTTGGAATGGATGTCACACTTTTGGAAGCCAGGGTAAGAATTGCCTTTTGAGTTTAGAGGCTTGACCTATTGGAAGCATGGTAAGCAAATTATCTGTTGCAAATTAAGGAATTATACAACTTGAACTAAGTCAAATTGATTTGTAAAATAGAGTGTTTTGGATAGTGTTATTTATATTTTAAAGACGCATTTTTTCATATGAATGCTTTGAAAAGTGCTCTGTGAGGGGGGTTTTAGAGTATTTCTTTTCCTGATTGATATTTTCAGATCATTGTTTCTTGTAGTTAGCTCTTAAATTTGGGGCCTTCATGGACATATCTTTTGTTAGGAGGCAGTTATTTTTGGTGGTGGAACAGAGTGAATTCCCTATTTTTGATAAAGAAAAAAAGCTGCCTCTCAGGCAGGAACCATCTTTTAGAAGCCAAGATACTGTTCTTTTTTCTGTTAGTCCTAGAGAGAGAAATGGAAACAGGAGGAGCAATAAGGGATAACGACACACAGTAGGAAAAAGAGTATATATTAGGATGCTACTGTTCAAGCTATTTTCATGAATAATTTTTGAAATCTAATTATCTTCTAATGGCTTTAAACTGCTGATTTTTTAAGAGAGTATGGGGAAATTGAAATTAAATATTTTCCTGATACACTGTTATTAAAAATTTTATATATTCAGAAAACATTTTTGTGCACTTTGTACATTTTGTATTGAAAAATACAATAAGGAATAATAGGACCATTATGATTCCTACCCATGAGGAGTTTATAATCTAGTGCATAGGTTTTTGTTTTGTTTTGCAGTTTTGTTTGTTTGTTTGGAGTTCCAGAGTATTCTTACATTATCTATAATCATTAAATTATCACTAGAACTCAGCCATACTTGAAAATCCCTGGTCAGCAGTGATAAACCTGGGCCTATTTAGGGATGAAAGGTAATGTGAACAGGCTATGTTCAGTATGGACTCTCTGCCCCTGGGCATAGGGCTGCACTGGAGAACCATTTGTCAGAAAAATTATCCTTCAGATTTTTCCCAGCTAATTTTGGGGATCAGGGTGTAAGAGTCAGATTACAGTGGTAGAAAGTTGGTATTTAAATAGTGTTGGGATTTGTGAACAAATATTTTCTATGTGGGTAGCCTCGTTCATCCTGTACATTAAAAGGTATTATAGACAGCCGGGTAGAGAGGTACCTGTGACTAAATATATCTTCCAACTGTCAAGTTGTTTTATATCACATCATTTAATTCTGTGTCATTTAGTTATATGACATTTAATTATATGTCATTTGTTGCCTGCTTCTCCTTCAAATAGTCTTCAAGTTAAACTTCATTTGTTCTTTGTGCCCATAGCACTGTTGATTGCATTCCATGTAAACTCTATATCTTTATTTTTAAATTATAGAAGACAGAGCCATGGTATATTACTATGGCAGGTTTGTGGTTAAAACACAATTGATGATTTTGGCTATTTAATTTCTGAAACAGGATCGTGTGGGTGGACGAGTTGCCACATTTCGCAAAGGAAACTATGTAGCTGATCTTGGAGCCATGGTGGTAACAGGTCTTGGTAAGTAGCTATTGGTTTGTCCTATAGTACGTGGTCTGAGACTCATAAAATAAAAAAAAATTTAAAGCCAGAGATGCAATTTTAAAGTGTATTGGTTTAGAATAGTTCTTCTGTTAGTGAGAGGTATAGCAGTATGTGGAAAATGTAAATTGTACATATCTTTTGACCTAGAGTACCTTTTTCTAGTTCTGGGAAATTATCCTATGAAGATAAGTAGATAATGTGTTTGAAGCTTTTTTTTTTTTTTTTTGTGAGACAAAGTCTCGCTCTGTCACCCAGTCTGGAGTGCAGTGGCGTGATCTCCACTCACTGCAGTCCCCTCCTGGGTTCAAGCAATTCCCCTGCCTCAGCCTCCCGAGTAGCTAAGACTACAGGCACATACCACCATGTCCACCATGCCCAGCTAATGTTTTATATTTTAGTAGAGGCGAGGTTTCACCATGTTGGCCAGGATGGTCTTGATCTCCTGATCTCATGATTAACGTGGCATTGTTTTTGTTTGTTTTGAGACGTGGTCTCGCTCTTTTGCCCAGGCTGGATTGCAGTGGCATGATCTCCGCTCACTGCAACCTTTGCCTTCCATGCTCAAGGGATCCTCTTACCTCAGCCTCCCTAATAGCTTGGAATACAGGCATATGCCACCATGCTTGGTTAATTTTTAATTCTTTGTAGAGATGAGGTCTCACTATATTGCTAGGCTGATCTGAATTCCTGGGCTCAAGCGATCCTCTCAAAGTGCTGGGATTACAGCACTGGTCTCGAAGTCCTGACCTCAGGTGATCCACCCACCCCACGGCCTCCCAAAGTGCTAGGATTACCACCATAATCCTATGTGGGCATTAGCCAGCTTGCCCATCCCTGGCATTGTTTTTCATAGCAGAATATTAGAAACCACAGAGTAGAATATTATACCATGAGCAATATACAGCCACTGAAAATCATGTAGCTCCGTATTAGTGTAAAACAATGTCCACAATATATTGCTAAGTTGAAAAGAGATTATAAAACAGTACTTATTATGATCCTTTTGTGTGTGTCTGTAATTTTATACACTTAAAATCTAGAAGGATCTGTAATAAAATGTTAATTAGTGGGATTATAGGTAATTTTTTTGTACTCTTCATGTTTATCTTACATATTTTTACTTGGAGTGCTTTTTTGAGAAATAATTTACATACTGTAAGCTTTTGAGCATTTTTTGAGTAAAAATATTTTTTACTGTGAGGTTTTTGTTCTCTCTTCGTAGGTCTATTGAATTTAATTGCTTGAGTTTTTTCTAGGAGGGAATCCTATGGCTGTGGTCAGCAAACAAGTAAATATGGAACTGGCCAAGATCAAGCAAAAATGCCCACTTTATGAAGCCAACGGACAAGCTGTAAGTCAAGGACAAACAGAACTTTCAACATTTCTTTGGTTCAGTTGAAAACAATTTTAGGAGGATGGTATGGATGAGCATATACATATATACACATACAGAGGTGTATATATATAAACTGAGGGTAGAGATGATGTGACGTTATTCTGATTGTTTCTTAACTCTGAGCTATGTAAGAAGGGATTATTGTATGTATACACATTTACCTGTCTGTTTAACATTTATCTTTAGATATTTAATGAAGGCTAGCTAGACAGTTAATCTTTTTATTTGGCTGTGGCCCCTTACTCCAAGGGACTTGTGGAATTGAAACCTGATTCTTCGTTTTTTTTGTATTGTGCCTTCCATCATGTGCTTTAGCTCCATGTGTTCTTTATGACTTCAGTTTTGTGTTTATAGGCTAATATTTTTGATGGGCTAATAGCCAAATGGTGGTACTTACCCACATGCTTAGATAGGCTAAAGTATATTTGTTGACCAGAGGCATAGGAGCTTCCTATACCTAGTATGAGTGTAGCATGGAACTGATGAATGGTATGGGGAATTGCACAGTTTAACAACTTTAAGATAGGCTTAAATTACGTAAGTCAGTCCTAATTTTTAGAAGTGAGTGAAATTCAAAAGTTTGTATTTAGCAGAAATTTTAGTGATTCCCTTTATCAAGATGAGAGCCCACACTTCTCAGGATATAAGCACATATTATCTTTATATTTGGGGAAAAGGGCGATTTCCTGTGTATACAGTGTGTTTAGCTACTGTTACTAAAAGTGGTAGGATCCTAACTCTTGAATTTTGTGTGATATGTTTCAAGGAACATCCTCACTTACTCCTATCTACCTTAAGGCTTTATGGAGTTCCTATCAAGAGAAGGGCAGACTCTCAGGGAATGCTTTGGTTTCCATCCCCACCATCATGGTCCAAGTTTCCTACCAGTACTTGGGTGGGGTGGGTAACAGGAGGCTTCTTGCAGAATAGACTGAGCAGAATGAGAGAGAAAGGATGAAGCAGAGATTAACTCAACAGTTGAGTAAACTTCTCTTATTCTACCAAGATCTGTAAAGGATATAGAGATGAATAAGATAGTCCCTGCTATAGTGGTACTTGTACAGAAATAATTCTTTTTTCCCAACTTTTTATTATGGAAATTTTAAAACATGGACAGAAGTAGAAAGAGTACTGTAGTGAACCTGTTTTCCCAATCTTGTTTTATCTGTCCCATTCCTACACTTTCGAGTCCAGGGGAAGTCTGGAGTATTTTAAAGCAAATCACAAACATCCATAAATATATTAATACCAGTAACATAAAGTGAAAGCCAAGGATTAGATAGAAGAGCAAATTGCTGTGGAAGAACCAAGGTGGCAAGAGAATGTATGAAGGTGTGAGGGAAAGGGCACTAAGAGATCTGGAGGGAAGGAGAACATTTGTGAATGGCAAATCAGGATTGCAGGCAGAGGAGGCTTAAGTCTAAGCAGATATGTCTGTAAAGGAGGATGGGATTATACCAGTGAGGGTAGGAAGATAGAAAATTTAGGGTGGGGCCATGTTGTAGTGGATGTTACTTGCTAGGCTTGATTGTAGGTTGGAACTGGAGAGGTTTGAGAACAGGGGAAATGACATGATTAAGTCAGCATTGAAAGTATAATATTAGTAGTAGGTAATAAGTACAGAATTGAGGTGAGGAGAAGCAAGGCTTCAGAGTGGCTATTACAGTCATCAAGAAGTGGTAAGAGTCCACAGTAAAGATTAATCACTGATCATTGAGACACCATCTTTTTCTTTAGACTTTTCTGAATGTAGAGCAGGTTCATTAATTCTTTCTAACAGTAAAGAGAGAAGTTTTTTCTTTTTTTTTTTTTTTTGAGACGGAGTCTCGCTCTGTCGCCCAGGCTGGAGTGCAGTGGCGCGATCTCAGCTCACTGCAAGCTCCGCCTCCCGGGTTTACGCCATTCTCCTGCCTCAGCCTCCTGAGTAGCTGGCTAGTTTTTTGTATTTTTTTAGTAGAGACGGAGTTTCACCGTGTTCGCCAGGATGGTCTCGATCTCCTGACCTCGTGATCCGCCCCTCTCGGCCTCCCAAAGTGCTGGGATTACAGGCTTGAGCCACCGCGCCCGGCCGAGAAGTTTTTTCTATTAGAGATACCCAGAGAAATGGACTGCTTTCTTGGTATTAGATGAGCTTTAGCGCATTTTTTAAAACACTTGTTTCTGTACCACTGCTGTCCTCAGGTGGGGCCTGCACTGGCTGCCAGTCTGTGAACTAACTGTTGATTACCAGTGTGGGATGAAATAAATTACACTGCTAACCACACTGTTAATTCAGTTGGTGACTTTTTTTTTCCTGGTAGCAAAACTCTCAGTGAAGAAAGTGGTACATTGATTTATCCACATCTTACCAGGACCAGCCCTTTGAGTAGCGCTGTAAACAGTTGTTAACCTTGTGTGTGGTTTTCAGCATTTTGAATGCAAGGATATTTTTCCCAATGAAATTGGTAGTTGTCATTCAACTCTGATATGTTATAGGATTTTTCTAAGTTGATACATTTATATTTGGTGCAGTAGCCAAGTGATAAGGAATATTTTAAACCATTCTCAAATTTGGGAATGGATTCTTTGCAGCTTTGATTTATGCTTGCCTTAGTTAATCAAACATAAGGCATGCTAATGTTTCTGTACTGCTGTCTCCAGTTGTCTGTCTCAGAGTAAGAATGGAAAACTGTTGACTAGTAAACTAGCTTTTTTTTTTTTTTTTTTTGAGACAGAGTCTTGCTCTATCACCCAGGCTGGAGTGCAGTGGCACAGTCTTGGCTCACCGCAACCTCCGCCTTCCGGGCTCAAGTAATTCTCCTGCCTCCGCATCCTGAGTAGCTGGAATTACAGACGTGCCCCACCACGCCCGGCTAATTTTTTTGTATTTTTAGTAGAGATGGGGTTTCTCCATGTTGGCCAGACTGGTCTTGAACTCTCGACCTCAGGTGATCCACCCACCTTAGCCTCCCAAAGTGCTAGGATTACCAGCGTGAGCCACTGTGCCTGGCCTAAACTAGCTTTTGAACAAGCTTATAGGACAAGTACAAAGAGCCCCACTAATTTATGCTTGTAATTACAAATACGTTTCATGGCTTTAGCGATCTAAAGAGAGGTCAGTAGCTTTATTCTGTTATTGCGGGAGAAGAAACTAAAGCTTATAGGTCAGTAGCTTTATTCTCTTATTGCAGGAGAAGAAACTAAAGCTCATAGGTCAGTAGCTTTATTCTCTTATTGCAGGAGAAGAAACTAAAGCTCACACGTGTGTTTGCCTAAGGTTATCATAATCAGTAAGTTGAAGAGCCAGAATCCATTGCCTGGTGTTCTGGTTCAGATTCCCATACTTGTTTGACTACAGCTCGCTGACATTTCAGGGAAGATGGGGTGAGGTGAGTGTATGCACCTCTTTCTAACTGCCTGTGTGACGACATCAGCTAAGTCTCCTTCTCTGAGAACTTTGTTTCAGTAGTTACTCCAGGAGCCAGCAAGGCCTACCTAAAGTAAAAATTCATTCAGTCATTGGTTTTTCTTTAGTAAACTGTTGGATGAAATGGGATTGGTTCTGTTTCTCCATGCTTTGTGGACAGCTTCAGTCAAAAAAAGACTGATTTGTTGGTTCTGTTGTTAGTACATAGAAATTAATGATGTCATCCTGTAGAAGGCCAGAAAGTTACTCCGAGTTATATCACTAGTAATAATGTCTGAAGGACATATTTGCATACCCAGACATTTTGCTGCCGTAGGAAAGGAATCATATAGTAAGTGATTTTTATTTTATGTCATTGTTTTAATCACAATCACAAGAATCCCTAAAAAAGTTTACCTCTCTGTTCTCTCTCCTACATTTGTAGCTAGTATATTGAGTTTCTGTGTTTGTTTTTGACAAGGGACATTTATTTTATGGCTTTGGATGACTAGAACAAGGACTTCCCTAGTAAATATATTAATATGAGGGATATAATATAGAGATATAAAATAATGTAGGGATACTAAGCATATCCCTCTAAATAGAAGGGATCACCACTACCTTAAGCCTATAAAACAATCAAAGCTAGTATAGCAGCTGCCTTCAGTTGATTGGTGATGGAGTTATACTCTGACCTATGCTGTCATCAGTAACAGCTTTAACTGGACATGGAGAAGGTTGGGAAATAGGATAATTCATATTTCAGGGAACATTTTGCTGGTCTCTGCTGAGGGAACTGAAAACACGATTGGTCGGGGAGACAGTGGAAATGGCTCTGAATGTTTTCTGCATCTCCTGTACACCAGCTAGTAACTCATGGGCTTTACTTTTTTTTTTTTAGGGTATCTTAATCAAATTCCCACAGTACTGTAGCATTCTGTTTCACAAGGTCGCTGGTCATTTGTGTGTGTGTGTGTGTGTGTGTGTGTGTGTGTGTGTGTGTGTGAGATTGTGTGTGTGTGTGTTGTTACAGATCCAGAGGACTCCTTTGAAAAACTGAGCTTTGATTTTCTTCTTGGGAATGGCTCAGCTGTTAAGAGAATGACAGACAACATATGAAAAGTAATGGGTGTCAGGTCTCTTACAAAGACCATTAACTAAAGGTGTATTAGGTATCTGTCATAACTTAGCCAGTTTTCATTTGTGTTCATATACAGTGGTGCTTAGGTTAGTACACCTTTGACACAGACCTGTTGGCCTTTTTGGTTTTCTTCCTTTGAGGAAACATTTTCAATATCTTTATGACAGTCTTTCTCTGCCCTTTAAAATCATTACTGCCAATCCATGCTTGTTTATAAATGTAAAAATCTCATGCCTTCCTTTAATGGTCCTGAAGTTGCAAATAGTTTTTGCCCCCTTAATTATAGTTATAATACTGACTTTGCTTTTCCAAACTGTATTTATTTGTTTCACAAGAATTTACTGGACTAAAAACTGCTAGAGAGAACTACTTAGATATGTTGTGTGTGCCTTTTCCATACACTCTAATCACTGCTTTAAGGAAGTCAAAAAGATTCCTTACGGGGTGGGAGTTGGGGGAGACAACAGTCTCTGTAGAATCACATTGATTGTTTTGTTTTGGAGACAGGAAGATCTTGCAGTGTTGCCCAGGCTGGAGTGCAGTGGCATAAACATGGCTCACTGTGGTCTTGCCCTCCTGGGCTAAAGTGGTCTCCCACCTCAGCCTCCTGAGTAGCTGGGACCACAGGCATACACCCCTACACCTGGCTACTTTAAAAGAATTTTTGTAGAAATGGAGTCTCACTATATTGCTCAGGCTGGTCTCAAACTCCTGGACTCAAGTGATCCTCCTGCTTCAGCCTCCCAAGGTGCTGGGATTTATAGATAAGAGCCACTGCGCTCAGCCTAGAATCACGTTGAATTTTATTTGCATTAAGGATATATTCCCCCTGTAGGGACAATAGCTATATCTCATTTCCCTTGGCTGTTGAGGAGAATCTGAAATTAGGGACTCTTCAGAAGTAAATTTCTTCTTCCAGGTTTTACCAAATGAACTAATCTTAATCTTCTGCTTCACCATCATTCTAGAAGTGCTCGATGGCATGGGATGGGGAGGTGGAGATTGGCTGTCTAGTCAGATTTGGCAATTACTCCTTTTTTCTGATTCTTTCTGGGGATTTCTCTGGCTAAATCTCAGACCTTTCATTACCTAGTGTACGTTGCTGCATTTGACTCCATTCTGCTCTGCTGCTGGTGAGTTTGTGAAGACTGGAAGTAAGATAGGTGTACAATGTTTTTGAAGACCTAAAGAGCTTGTCAGAATGAAACCAGAGGTAGAACTAAAGAGAGCTGTCCTTCTTCCTTTGAGATTACTTCTTGCAGGACCAGGGACCTTGTCCAGAAAGGTGTTTGGCTTTCCCACATTCTGCATGGGGTAGACACACAGGCTTCCCTTCCCCTGGACACATTTAGAGATAGTCCATATAATCTACTGGACCAAGACAATCAGGATTGAACCTATTTGGAACAATGAGACTCTTCAAATTCTCTTAGTCTTGAAGGAACTATTTACCTGGAGCCTTTCATAGAGAAATAAATGGTTTCAAACAGTCAGTCAAAATCTGTTTAAAGTGATGTCCATTTTGTTTGCTTCTTAGATAGAAGGCTCTTACATTACTGGTCCTTTCCCCAGAAATGCTTTTTAGTTTGCTGTTACAAGTTCTCCCTGTGTTGCAGTGTAGAAATCCACCTGCCTTCTAATGTGGTACTTAAAACCCTTTGTAATCATTCGTTGAGTTTCTTTCTCGGGATACAAGTTAAGGATCTAGATTAGAATAGTCAGGTAAGATTTAGATTATTGTGACCTATGTTTAGCGATTGCCAATATTTCAATTCCATTTTGTTGTTATTGTTCCATAATAATTTGTAGAACTAATAGAATCCAAGGATTCTCATCAAGGGGAAATAAATGACTTAAAGTATGGGTAGTTTGGGGTTGTCAGGGTAGTCATTTGTTAGTTCCTTTTATTGTCTGGGTATGTGAAATAGAATATTTCTAACTAGCTTGTTTTTAGAAATGATTCTGATTTAAAGGTATTAAAAACACATTTTGGTTTTCTCCCAGTCAGTATTGATTTCCTAAGGGACAAGTATTTTATGTATTATTTTCCAAATATTCCTTTAATTTCCAAGTGAAATTTTAATGTTAGTGGGGAAAAAAAAAGCCAGGTTTCAGAGCTATTCCTGGCTGCACTTGCAACATTCCTGTAATTGCTTAGGTGGAAAATGGATGGGGCCTGGTGGCTGACAATCTCACATAATCTCATACAACTGAGCCTCGGGTTAGAATGGTGTACCGGAGATGCAGTCCTGTCATCTGGTGTCAGTCAAATGTGGCAGCAATCTTTTGGTTTGGTTTTTGTTTGTTTGATTTTGTTGTTGTTGTTGTTGTTACTGTTCTGTGTTTTTCCTTTCCTCTTTTGAGTTTTGCTTTATTCCTCACTGCTTTCTGACACTTCCCCCTCACTCCCCCGCCTTTTTTTAACTGCCTTTCTTTTGGCCATTTCTATGCCTTGACTTTCCCATTTAGTCTCCGTACTATCTGTTCCTTATTTCTCTGGTGGTTGCAGCTTCTGAGCTAACAGAATGCTTCTGTCATGCTATGTGTTTAAAGCCTTGATTTTATTGCTGTCATACAAAACTAAACTTGACGTGGCTGTTGGGCTGTTATTTACAGTTTATTTCTCTCTCTGCTGCACTGGTTAAAAGGACACTGTCAAGGTATTTTTTTCATAATTTTTCAAATCATTTTCCTCACTGTTTACAATAACCCATTAAAAGCTTGAAACCTAAATCTTTTCCTTTCAAAGATCCTCTCCATCATACATTCACACTGGTTTGTTGTTGTAGAGTTGCGCCTATATGTTGGGCTGGTGCCATTTGAGTTTTTGTCATTGAAAGCGCGTGTAAAACATTAGGTTTTTTGTGGGTGGTGTGGGTGGACTAAGGGGGAAAGTGTAATGAATCCAGTGGGCTGCTCAGCAAACAGAGGGAGGAAACAGAGGTCAAATTTGGTCCCTCTAACCTTGACAGTGTCCCTTTAAATATTTCTCTACCACACACCCTGGACCCCAGTTACTGAGCCTGAGTGCTGTGTACTTTTTCAGTATGAACTTCCCTATGTGATTGTCATCCTAGTTGCAAAGATTAAAGCTTGTCTGAAGCAAACCATCCAGTTGACACTGGAAGAGCTTTAATCTGTACCATTTGCACACTTGCGTATTGACACATTCTGCCCTATTGTAGAGGCATATGTGATCTAGTAGTCCCTCTTGCTGCTGTAGCATCCTCTTGCTAGGCATTTTAGAAGCAACACATAGAAATACCACTTTTATACTCCAAGAAAATCAGTCATACGCATTGCATCTGTGATGAATTAAGGTCTCATAACTACCTGGATTTCACATTGAAATGTAATTGTGTCCTTTTTGAAAGAAGAACCAAATTTAGATTTCCAGAACTGTCTTTTGTAGCATCATTGCAGGATTTGCACTGGAAGTAGCACGTTTCTGAGCAAAATTTCGGCATTGTTTGAGTCGCTCTATATATGACCATCACATATCACATCAGTGAGAAAAAGTAGCTGAAAAAGTAAATGAAATTCCTGACCAAAGGGTCTGTCTCTTCCATCAGCTCTCATAGCTGTGTAATAAGAGCAAGCTCTTTTTTGACCATTGAGTTGAATGAGTAATAGATCAGAGGTTTCTGATCCACCAGTCCTAGGTACCTTCCTGATATAAATGGCACCAAGCATCCAAAGCCTGATTCTCTGCCTCATTTAACACAAACCAGAATATTTTTAGAGATTTAGATTTTCTTTAGGCTAAGGGTAATTCTTTAATTATAAAGACACCCTCATCTCTCCCACGTATAGTCTTTTGGAACTTACTGCTTTGAATGTGATTTTGATTAAATCAGTTATGGCGTCTCTCATATTTACAGTTCAAAGGAGAGTTGCAGTCCTCTTTCTTTTTGGGAGCAGATTGCCCTTCTTGCCAGATTCTTTCTGCCACACATTGGCTTATCTCATAGAGTTACTTGTGTGATCAGTGAAGGAGCAGAGGCCAGGGTTCAAAATCATCTGTTAAGTTGGGAAGTAGAAAAACTGTGGAGTTTCAAATGAGAGGTAGAATATTATTGGGATCGTCTTGTCAACAGTCAGTTATCTCTGATTGTTAGAGGTCGCTCCTCTTGAGTCTTAGTGTTTACTAGAATTTACTTCCATGTTTTATTTTTGTGTTACCAATTTTAGGTTGACTGTGTAGTGAAATTCCGTGTTTTGAATCACATTTCCCAGCTGATACCAGCCCAGCTTATAACAAACAATGCTTGCCTTAAACATATTTTTTCTTTCTCTCACTTCTGCCATGAATTCAACAATAGGATTGCATATACAGTTTACTTTGGGGCTGAATTAAGCAGTAGCAGAGGGGTGCTTGTGAACTAACTGATGTTATCGGTAGGCAGGCACACAGCATGGCTTAGGATCATGGTCTTCCAGCTTGATGATCTGCTTTGCATTCTGTTTGCTTCATCCACATCAATGAGGAGCCAGACTTTCTGGTCCTTCATTTACTCATAGACTCTCTCAAGAGCTTTGTACATTCAATTCTGAACTTATTGGTGCCATAAAATGTTATTACTGTGCAAAAGAACAAAAGTGCTAGTATGTTCTTATTAGTAGCCATGAATTTCATTTCTCTTTTCCCTCCTCCCACCTGAGATTCATCTTTGAGGGGAAGCAGATACCTTGGGCTTCTTATTTTCCCATCCTGCCCTTATTCTTGGAAGGTCCTCAGATTTGTTGACATAGTTTTTGTTCTCTGGGACTTTTCTAGTGTGTTGTTTGCATGTTAGCCAGCTCAACTTAATGCATGTCAGCTCAGTGCCACTTGTGCTCCATGTGACTTCAGTTAGCACCAGTGTGAATCTTGTGGCTGTTAATAGAGGTGGAGTCCCAGCTCTGAGGGCAGAAGTGGGAGAAGAGGAAATCGTCAGGGCCCAAACATTTCATATCTCATTTAAATGGATTTGACCACTTCATAGAAAAGAAAATTTGAATCATTGTGCTCAAAGGTTTCCCCTTTGAGATACATATTTTGACCTTTATAAACTATAGAGCATTTGTGTTTTCTTGGATGGATATGTTTAGTTTTATAAGGACCAACTCTGCTATACTTCGGATTTTCAGGTTCCTAAAGAGAAAGATGAAATGGTAGAGCAAGAGTTTAACCGGTTGCTAGAAGCTACATCTTACCTTAGTCATCAACTAGACTTCAATGTCCTCAATAATAAGCCTGTGTCCCTTGGCCAGGCATTGGAAGTTGTCATTCAGTAAGTACTTTGATAGTGCTTATTGTATAGTGAGTTCCATGTGTAAAGATTTGCCATTTATGTTTTAAGTTTTTCTGCAAGTCTTATTTGAGCTAGTTTTTACTTAATTTCATGTGAAGCCATTGAATCCAAAATTAAAAATTATTTAAAATTATTATATGATCTCTTAAGGTCCCTTTCACTTCTAAAATTCATTGCTTTTATGGTATTATACTGTATTTAACATAGCCTAGGAAATAATTTCCCACTAGCCAACTTTCTTGTTCCTAAGTATTAGAAGTTTCAGTGGGCCTTGATGCCCTTAAATGTTTTTGATGGGCACCTGTCTTATTTTGCAAAGTTGGCTTTAAGACCGGATTATACATATTGTCTCTCTTAGGTTACAAGAGAAGCATGTCAAAGATGAGCAGATTGAACATTGGAAGAAGATAGTGAAAACTCAGGAAGAATTGAAAGAACTTCTTAACAAGGTGAAATTCTGTATTTTCTTTATAGCTGAAGAAGCTTTATTAGGAAAAAATGTCTTTAGAAATTTTAAAAGCATTTCTGAGACTTTTTTCTCCATGGAAGAGAAAGTCTGCACAGCTGGGACTCATTCTTAAGAAAATAATGACTAACAAAAGAGACTGTTTTATCTGTCAGTGTTTCGGTGTGGCATTATTGATAAATGTTGCCAGAGGAAATAGATCTTTCCTCTTTTTCTGGTTCCCTTTAGCTCAGGGTTGTCCAATCTTTTGGCCTCCCTCAGTCACATTGGAAGAAGAAGAATTGTCTTGGGCCACACATGAAATGCACTAACACTAATGACAGCTGATGAGCTTTAAAAAAAAGAAAAGAAAAGAAAATTCAGTGTTTTGAGAAACTTTATGAATTTGTGTTGGGCTGCATTCAAAGCTGTCCTGGGCCACGAGTTGGACAAGCTTGGTTTAGCCATTCTAAAGCTATCCCAGTGCCCTCGGCTGAATTCTAGGACTAGCAGGAGATTAGCTGTACTGGAGCCAAGTTTCCATTGGTGAAGACCAACAAATCAGCAGCCAGTTCATTGGCATAATTACTTCTCTTGAGTTGCCACCACCCCCACCTCTGTTCCCCAGGGCTGAACTCTTAGGGCTCTTCTCTGCCACCACCTTCCAGCGCCCCAGGCTCCAGAGCATTAAAGTCCAACCATTTATTTCTCCTCGTCCTGCCAGCTGCAAAGGTCACATGAGCTTAGGGAGAAAATAGCCCCTGGAGGGGGCCTTTATAGTGCGTACTCTGGGTGTGCCTGTGACTGGACTCTTGCCTCACTCTCACTGTGCCTCATTTCTTCATCCGGTCTGATGAAGAGGTCTCCAGCTCACAGTCTTCATGGATTGTGGTAAGGATGAAAAGAGAAGAGTGACTTAAGAACTGCCAAGTGGCAGGATACCTATAGGGTGCCCAGTCTCAGGCTTTGTCACTCTTGGCCTGTGTAGTATCTTCAGAAACCTGAAAAAAGCTAACATTAAGAATGGTTCCTTAAGATTCTTTGGCCAGGCACAGTGGCTCACGCCTATAATCCCAACACTTTGAGAGGCTGAGGCAGGTGGATCACTTGAGGTCAGGAGCTCGAGACCAGCCTGGCCAAATGGTGAAACCCCTTCTCTACCAAAATACAAAAAATTAGCTGGGCATGGTAGCACACACCTGTAATCCCAGTTACTCGGGAGGCTGAGGCATGAGAATCATTTGATCCTTGGAGGCAGAGGTTGCAGTGAGCTGAGATTGTGCCACTGCACTCCAGCCTGGGTGATAGAACAAGACTCCGTCTCTTAGAAAAAAAAATAAAGTTATTTGACCTTTTACATATTTAAAAAACACATTATAGGACCAGGCGCAGTGGCTCACGCCTGTAATCCCAGCACTTTGGGAGGCTGAGGCAGGCAGATCACAAGGTCAGGAGATTGAGACCATTCTGGCTAACATGGTGAAACCCCGTCTCCACTAAAAATACAAAAAATTAGATGGGCGTGGTGGCGGGCGCCTGTAGTCCCAGCTATTCGGGAGGCTGAGGCAGGAGAATGGCATGAACCCGGGAGGCGGAGCTTGCAATGAGCCGAGATCACGCCACTGCACTCCAGCCTGGGCAACAGAGCGAGACTCCGTCTCAAAAAAAAAAAAAAACACATTATGACAATTTGTTTCAGAAAATCAGTTCAAGTTACAATAGCGATATTTTCTTTTTTGTGGGTATTAAATTTATTTCAATACTGGGTTTTTTGTTTATTTAAATTAATGGGACACTCCTCATCCTTCTCATTCATTTTAGAAGGCAGCACTGATCTTAGCAGATAGAGTTGTGGTACCTTTATGTCAAGCCCTATAAGATTTCTTTCCTGTTTCCCAGATGGAATGATGTAGGTTAGAACAAGTATTTAAGAATTCTAAGGACCTTGCACTGTAGCCCTGTTTTGTTGTGATAGCAGTTTTGAGGAGCCAAAAAAGGGTACATGTGATACAGACATAAACTACATTACTATCTGGAGTGGTAAATTTGTGCTTTTCCTTCTTAGATGGTAAATTTGAAAGAGAAAATTAAAGAACTCCATCAACAATACAAAGAAGCATCTGAAGTAAAGCCGCCCAGAGATATCACTGCTGAGTTCTTAGTGAAAAGCAAACACAGGGATCTGACCGCCCTATGCAAGGTGTGGTATACATACAGGCTTAACTGGTTTTACTTGGAATCCTAAGAAATAGCACAGATCTGGGGAATTTTGGAAAAGAGAGCTACTAGCCAATCACAAGTGCCTTCAGTGCAATGAAGACGATTTGGTACATAGTGAGCCATGGGGATTTAATGGGTTAGTTTGGTTTAAGACCTGCTTCTCCTGCAGAATTCTTATCCTGTCTTAATAATCTCATCATTTTATCTTAAATCTCAGTTTAGCCGTAACAGTTTAGAGTAAGAGTATTAAACATGGACTACTTCAGAGTCATTTGGGGTCAAACTGTCAAATCCCTAACTTGGAGTCTCGAGCCATGTGACCTTGGACTCCTTAATTGCCTCATCTGTAACATGGTCTTAACACCTACCTCATAGGGTAATTGTGAAGCCTAAATACAATTATGTATAAAATGCTTACCCAGTGCCAGGGACATGGCATGCTTATGAAATGGTACTTGCTATGATTTTTCATCCCCACTTTGTAGCACACTAATATATTTCTTCTATTATTTTCTCCTGTGTGCGCCCTGCCTCCCCCTAATATTCCAGGCCCCCAATTGTAACTTGTCTCCAAAAACAAAAATCTCTGAGCTCTATCTAACCCCAGCCTAAAATTGAGCCACACTTCCTATACGTGATCCGAAGAGGAAATATGATCCAGACCTTATACTTTGTGGTGTAAAGAAACTAGGTAGATATCTGACCCTTCAGGATAACTCAGATTCACTTAATTTTTATCAGGAGTATGATGAATTAGCCGAAACACAAGGAAAGCTAGAAGAAAAACTTCAAGAATTGGAAGCGAATCCCCCAAGGTAAGGAAAACAAACACAAAAGTTCAGAGGGATAGCTTTTACTGTTCTTTCAGTTTGATTTAGAAAGAAAATTGTAAATCATAGTGAGCCTTTATTTATGTTCAGTGAGTGGTTTAAATTGTTAAATAAATTAATATGTGACTACTTGTGAGGTTTCTAAATCCCCTGCTTCTATATTTTAATGTGTCCTAGATACCTAAACAGATTGTTTCTAAAGAGAGAGCCTTTCTCCATAAGATCTGATATTTGGATAAAGATGCAATAGATGGAAATTATCTTTTTTGAGGGGGTAGAAGGTGCTGTTGCTTTATACTTCCATAATTTTGGGAACTAGGTGGGTATTATACTTTATTTCCACTGGGTTTTTGACAGTGAATGCTGGTGAAATGTTTTCACTTGCATCCAGCCTCCACGTAAATCTGTTTTGTTCTGTATTCAAGGATGCTGCCCATCCTTTCTTTTTTTGAGATGGAGTCTCACTCTTGTCGCCCAGGCTGGAGTGCAGTGATGTGATCTCGGCTCACTGCAACCTCCACCTCCTGGGTTCAAGCGATTCTCTTGCCTCAGCCTCCTGAGTAGCTGGGATTACAGGTGCCGCCATCATGCCCGGCTAATTTTTGTATTTTTAGATGGCGTTTCACCTGTTGGCCAGGCTGGTCTCAAACTCCTGACCTTAGGTGATCCACCTGCCTCGACCTCCCAAAGTGCTGGGATTACAGGCATGTGCCACCGCGTCCAGCCTGCCCATCCTTTCTATAGAGTCTATGCTGCGTGTAAAATATAAGACTTTTTTTTTTTTTTTTTTTTTAACAACTAATAAGCTTTTATGATATAAGGTAATTTCATATGAAGAATTCTTTTTTTTTTTTCCCCAGACAAATGAGGCCTACAAGTAATTTGCTTTACGTAGTGAGCTTGGCACTGCTCTAGACATCAGAGATAAAGAGGTTAATAAGACGGATAAGATGCTACTTTTTGATTTGTAATTTCTTCATATAAGGCACAGCCCTGGCTTAGATTCCGCCACAGTTATTGAGATCACCTACATCACACTGAGAGAACTAGTGATATCTTTTAATAATCCTGTACTCCTTTGTTCTTTTGCAGTGATGTATATCTCTCATCAAGAGATAGACAAATACTTGATTGGCATTTTGCAAATCTCGAATTTGCTAATGCCACACCTCTCTCAACTCTCTCCCTTAAGCACTGGGATCAGGTAAGTTTCCCTTATTTTTTTTGTTGCACATGTCTTTGAGAGAGATTGTAAGAGAAACAGTTAATTTTGTATGTGTGTTTTTAAACAGCTTTAGTAAGAGACATCATTTAAATACAGTGAAATTCACCTATTTTAAGTGAACAGTTTATTGATTTGCCAGATTTCAGTCATAAGCCCCCACACAATCAGGATATAGAACATTCCCATCATCCTGAAATGTTTTCTCCTGCTCCTTTGTAGTTAATCCCCTGTGCTCTGGCTCCCGGCCCTGGACAACCACTGATTTGCTTTATCACTGTAATTTTGTTTATTCTACAGTTTCATATGAAGTGAATCATAAAGTACATAGCTTTTTGTGTGTGATGTATTTCACTTAGTATAGTTTTTGAGATGTGCATGAAGTTTTTGAGATTCATCTTTTTTGCCTATATCAGTTGTTTGCCTTTTTATTATTTAGTAGAATTCCATTGTGTGGATGCACCCCAGGTCGCTTATCCTTTCACTGGCGCCTGAATGGGCTTTTGGGTTGTTTCCCTGTTTTGACTTCTAATGAACGAAGCTGCTTAAGAATGTTCATGTCTTTCTCTTGAGTAAATATGAACGGAATTGCTGGGTACTATGGAAAGTGGATTTTTAACTTTATAAATCAACTTCCAAAATATTTTCGAAATTGCCTTCCTACCAGCAGTGTATGAAAATTCCATTTTCTCCAAATCCTCACCAATCTTAGTAATGCCAGTTTTGAAAATGTCAGCCATTCTAATAGGTATAGTAGTACTTACATTTCTCTGATGACTAGTGATGGAGAGCATCTCTTCCTGAGCTTATGAGCCATTCATGTGTCATCTTTGAGTAAAATGTCTGCTCAGATCTTTTGCCTATTAAAAAAGTCTGATCGTCTGCTTGTTGATGAGTTTGAAGTTTATTATGTTCTTTAAATTCTAGGCAGAAGTCCTCTGTCAGATTTATGTTTTGCAAGTATTTATTTCCTTCTCATCTGTGGCTTGTCTTTAATTTTGTAAATCTGTCTCAGAGTAAAAGTTGTTTTTTTTTTTTTTTTTGAGACAAGGTCTTGCTTTGTTGCCCAGACTGGAGTGGTGTGATCATGGCTCCCTTGCAGCCTTGACCTCCTAGGCTAAAGTAATCTTCCAGTCTTGGACTCTCATTCCTATTTATAAACTTTTTCTTTTAAACTATGTTCTTTTTGTATCCTGAAAAAATCTTTGTCTTACCTGAGGTACAAAGATTTTATGCTATGTTCTCTTGCAGAAATTGTATGGGTTTAGCTCTTATGTTTAGGTCTATACTCCACTTTGAGGAAAAGTAAGTGAAGGGTTCATGTTTTTCCATATAGTTATGTAATTATTATTCCAGCACCATCCATTTCTTCATTTCTCTTGGCGCCTTTGTTGAAAATTAATTGGCATGTAAGCATGAGTATTTAAGGTTGTCTTTTCTGTTAATTTATATGTCTGTCCATATGCCACTATCATACTGTCTTGTAAGTTCTCCAACTTTGTTCATTTTTTATTGTTTTGGCTATTTTAAGGTACGTATTTTCATAACAGTTCAACTTGTCAATTTCTACAAAAATCACTTTCTGGGATTTTGATGAGGAGTGCATTATTTCTAGATCAATTTAGGGTGAATTGCCATCTTAACAATATTGAGTATTCTTATCCTTAAATACAGTCTACTTCTCCAAAAATGGTTTTCTTTCATTTACGTCAGTGATGTTTTATAGTTCTCAGTGGGCAGGGCTATACCATCTTTTCTTAAATTTCAGTGTGATTTACTCTTCAAGTGAGAAATCACAGGGCTTCTTGAACCAATCTCTAAATCTGAGACTTTGACCAGACTAAAGCAGTATAGGCTGGGTATGGTGGCTCACACCTTTTTAAACCCAACACTTTGGGAGGCCAAGGCGGGTGGATCAATGGAGGTCAGGAGTTCAAGACCAGCCTGGCCCTGTCTCTGCTAAAAATACAAAAATTAGCCAGGCGTGGTGGCAGTCACCTGTAATCCCAGCTACTTGGGAGGCTGAGGCATGAGAATTGCTTGAACCCAGGAGGTAGAGGCTGCAGTAAGTGGAGATCACGCCATTGCACTCCAGCCTGGGCGACAGAGCAAGACTCCATCTCAAAAAAAAAAAAAAAAAGGAAAAAACCAGTATGGAAGTAAATTATTAAATTTTTACTTATATATTTTAATTTACATTGTACATTTTCCTAGTAAAAATTATTTTGACAGGCCGGGCATGGTGGCTCACGCCTGTAATCCCAGCACTTTGGGAGGCCAAGGCGGGCGGATCACCTGAGTTCGAGACCAGCCTGGCCAACATGGTGAAACCCCATCTCTACTAAAAATACAAAATTAGCCTGGCGTGGTGGCACATGCCTGTAGTCCCAGCTACTTGGGAGTCTGTAATGTATTCAAAAGCCAGATAAATACACGTGATGTTTAATCATCTGGATTTCCTAGATTATCATTCCCCCTACCACCTCCCTACCCTAACCACCATAGAAGATCCGGACTTAGTGGTATTGGACTGGGATGATAAAAACTATCCAGGGAAGGCCAAGCGTGGTGGCTCATGCCTGTAATCCCAGCACTTTAGGAGGCTGACGTGGGTGGGTCAGGAGTTTGAGACCAGCCTAGCCAACATGGTGAAATCCTGTCTTTACTAAAAATACAAAAACTAGCTGGGTGTGGTGGCGCATGCCTGTAATCCCAGCAACTACTTGGGAAGCTGCGGCAAGAGAATCACTTGAACCCAGGAGTCTGAGGTTGCAGTGAGCCGAGATCATGCCACTGCACTCCAGCCTGGATGGCAAAGCAAGACTCTGTATCGGGGGGAAAAAAAAAAAATCCAGGGAAGAAAGAAACTTCCCTAATCTCACTGCCCAAAGATTTAGGGACATTTTGGTGTTTTCTCTTCTTTCTTCAGTTTCCTTTGATAACTGTAACTAAATACTGAGTGATTTGTTCTTTAGTTTGCCTTAAAATATTGACTGTTTCCAGAAGCTTGTGTTTTCATTGTTGTACAGAACTAGGTGCAAATGACACAGATTAAGAAAAGGTTGGAAATATGTTCTTTTCTCTCCTCTTTAGGATGATGACTTTGAGTTCACTGGCAGCCACCTGACAGTAAGGAATGGCTACTCATGTGTGCCTGTGGCTTTAGCAGAAGGCCTAGACATTAAACTGAATACAGCAGTGCGACAGGTTCGCTACACGGCTTCAGGTATGTCACTGCTTTACAAAAGGTAAGAGAGAACTCTCCTGAAACAGGACTGATCTTTTGTTAGGTATGAACTATCAGGTACATTTCCTGATAGAGTGTTTAAACTATGACACCATAGGTAAAAACTGGCGTTTACAGACAATCGAGCCCATAGAGTCTTCGGTTCTAACCTTATCATTTTATAAACTGGGAAACTGAAGCAAGTTTTAGGGTTTCCAATTTGAGCTAGTTGGATATTACTGGTTGAGCATCCCTAATCTGAAAATCTGAAATCTGCAATGCCCCAGTGAGCATTTCCTTTGAGCACTATGTCAGTGCTCAAGAAGTTTTCCATTTTGGTGAGCCAGTGAGTTTGGATCTAATTTTGTTACGTATATTCATAAATACCAGAATTTTGGCACCTGGGCTCCAGTAGGACCCACCCCTTTTATTTCACCATCCGCATTTTGTTCTTTGGATTCATTTTGGCCTTTTCTATTCAGCTGGGCTAATTCGCTTACGTTTGGTTCCTAGTTCTGGAGCAGTCCTGCTAATAAGTTGACTTCTTCAGAGATAGTTTCCCTGTGCTTGCTATGGGGATAGGCTCAATACTCATTATTATTGCTGGTTTCAGACTACATTTAATGTAAAGTGCAGGCAACTGTTGCATTTTGAACTCCTCAAGATAGTCATCTCCCACTCCGAGAACCCATGTGTGACTGTGTAGGCATGAGAAATGGAGACATAGCCATCAATCTTACCCCGCGCTGCCCATTTCCTTAGAGTTACTGAGATCACCACAGATGTTTTGGTTGTTTCTAACAATCAGTGAAACAGTTTTCCATTTAATTTTCCCATCAGAGGCAGCTTCTAGTTGACAGTGCTGAGAAGATCTGCAGCCTTGAGCCTTTTGCAGGCAGACGGAGAACAGTGAGAATAGATGTTGTGCCGTTTTCTCTAGTTCTGCAGCCACAGAAAATGAGCATGTACTGAGCTTTCATATTTGAGATACATATATTATATCTCAAAGTATATATAGTATATAAACAGACATTCATTAAAAAATAAATGAGGAAAATGATGTTAACATAATTTCAGTACCCTCTCTGCGGTCAGCTTTGAGCTCATTAATACTCTGACAAGCTGAGGATGACTCTACATTCTCAAGCATAGCACGCTCCGCAGTGTTAGGCTGCATCCCCCAGATCTGCATCACAGCCTTCTTGTAGCATTCTTCTGTTGGTTGATAGTGAGCAACTAACCACAGTCAGAAGACATTGGTTCTGTTGGGATGAGCATTTTACTCTTTATTTTTGCTCTAAATGTACTTAACTTGAGTAAATGGTAAGGTCCTTTCATTAGTCTAGATCACCAGTGTATGGGGAGGGTAGTGTGGGGATGACAATCAAGGATTCTGAAGTTGACTACGAGGGTTTGAATCCTGGCACTTATTACTTGTGTGGCCTTAGATGTGTTATTTCACCTCTACCTCAGTTTTCTTATGTGAAACATGAAGGTAATGAAAATAGAAAAATGAGAATTGAGAGATGGATGTCCATCTGTTGTACACTAAACGTTCAGTGTCCTTATCAGTGCCATATTCATCACCACTAGTCTTCTCCCACCCAACCTCTGCAGGATGTGAAGTGATAGCTGTGAATACCCGCTCCACGAGTCAAACCTTTATTTATAAATGCGATGCAGTTCTCTGTACCCTTCCCCTGGGTGTGCTGAAGCAGCAGCCACCAGCTGTTCAGTTTGTGCCACCTCTCCCTGAGTGGAAAACATCTGCAGTCCAAAGGATGGGATTTGGCAACCTTAACAAGGTAGCTTGCCTTAGACACTTCCGTCTACAGATCTAATGTACAAATAGCAGTCTTAGTCATTTACTTGGTGAGGAGGGGCCTTGCGTTTTAGGGCATTTGGCTATGCTCTCAATTGTGACATCAGGGCTGAGGCATGTCAGTTGATTCTCTTCAGTGTCTAAGTCTATCATCAAGTGTCTGTTCATACGGACTTACTCTTATGGGGTCATTTCACAAACTCAAGCCTATAAAAAGAGGATCGTAAATGTCATCCTAAATAATAAGAATTTCTGGGCTTATTTTGAAAGCAGATTAGAAGAGACTTCAAGGAAGTCTGTTGAAGCCAGTATTATCCGGCCCGTCACTAGCTCATGTGCTTCTTTCTGACGGTAGGTGGTGTTGTGTTTTGACCGGGTGTTCTGGGATCCAAGTGTCAATTTGTTCGGGCATGTTGGCAGCACGACTGCCAGCAGGGGCGAGCTCTTCCTCTTCTGGAACCTCTATAAAGGTAAATGCCTTCTAATTTTAATCTTTTCCATATCCTTACAGGAATATAGAATTTGAAATATTTGGGATTTTCTCAATATATATGCCTTAATTTCTCTCTTTATTAACTCAACAAACAATTCCTGAAATATCTTCTAGGTACTGGGGTGTAAAAATACCTGCCTTTGAGGAGCTGCCAACTTAGGATACAGTAAGCGGGGAAGCAGCCTTAGAACAGGGCAGTAGGTGGCATGACGGGCTGAACGCCCAGGTTACTGGAGGTCCACTCAGACTGGAGGGACAGGCCCAGGGAGGCTTCCTACCAGGGGAAGCTTGTGTTCCTCATTCTCAGACTGACTTGCCCCCATTCTTTGCTTGCTTCCCTTACAATGTATTTAAGAAATTCCTACCTCCTGTTCAGTTATTTTCTTCTGTAATTGGACTTAACTCTATGTAGACTTAAAGTATATTTGTACACCACCTCATTCCCAGAAAAGGCTGTAAAAAGAAGACATTGGCCTTGTCACTGCAGACACATCAGCTAACTGGCTTGCCTCCCATCCCCAGTTCTTTCCATTACTCCTCATTGCCCAGTGGTGAATGGTCTTTCACACCCCAGCGCCTCTAACTTCACAGAGGGGGAACTTGGCTCCCTGAGCACATTGCTTTCTGACAGCAGCAGCGTGTCTTTTCCCCATCCAGGCTGTCAAGTCCTGTCAGTGCCAGCCTTATAATGTCTTGCAAACCTATTTACTTTTTTCTATTGCCTACTTCCCAGTCCAAGCCATTCTTACCTATTGCCTGGACGGTTACCAATAGCTACTACTGCTATTCCTGCTTCTTTTAGCAACTTTCTACTGCTGAAAGAAAATGTTCAAACTCCTTATCTTGGCCCATGCTAAGGTTCTTCATTATCTAACTCATCTCTACTTCCTTGTCCATCCCCAGGTTCCAGGCACATTTGGCTGTTCTCACATCCTGGAAGACACCATGCTGTTTTCTGCTTCAGAACCTCTACATGTACTGTGGTCTAGGCCTGGGGGGCTGCTTCTCCCCCCACCCCCTCGACCCCACTTCCTTCACAGCCTGTCTTATTCAGCATTCAGGTTTTGACATAAACGTCAGTATTCCAAAGACTTCCAGGACACACACATCTCCACTGCACCAAATGTAAATTAAATTTACCCCCGTATGCTTTTCCCTATAGCCTACTTTTTCTTCATAGCTTTTATCACAATTAATAATTATCTGTGTAATTTTGCATCTGTTGCTCTATTGGAGTATATAGTTTATAGCTTTTTTATCCCCCTCTTCTAGTAGTGTGCCTACCACCTATGTCTGTTGCATAACTATTCACCAGATGGGTGACTGAAGACAGTCCTGGGCTTGGAAGGGCCTGGGATGGCTGAAAGGGATGTAGCCATTGTCATGGAGCTATCTAAGGTAGTCAAGGTTAAGAATTCTGTGCCAAGGTAAAGGGATGCTTAATAATTCCCTTTTATTAGCAAGATCTGAAATTGTATCTTTGGAACTCTGCTGTATTTTGTCAAGTTAGAAGCAGTGAGGTGCCTGTGAATCTTACTTCACTCTCTAGTCTGCCAGCTCCTAGTGGCTGGTTTCTGGCGACAATAGTTCCATAGGCTGTTTCAGAAACATAATTTGTCTCTTTGCATTTCAGTGGTGCTGCTGTATGTGTCTTGTCATCAGATTTCAGAGCACCAGGAATAAGGTGGGGCCTGATAAGGACGTTTTTGAGGAAAGTCTGTAGGAAAACCCTAGAATTATCCTTTCTGTTTCCCCAGCTCCAATACTGTTGGCACTAGTGGCAGGAGAAGCTGCTGGTATCATGGAAAACATAAGTGACGATGTGATTGTTGGCCGATGCCTGGCCATTCTCAAAGGGATTTTTGGTAGCAGTGCAGTACCCCAGGTAAGTAAATAGGTGAGGTAAGCAGGGATCTAGGCTTCAAACTCAACCAGGGTTTAATGTATTTGCAGCATGTTCTTGGTCAGGACAGTTTAAGCTAGAATTGAGGTGTGTGCCTTTACATGAATATTAATGTTTGGAGTTCATGGCCTAAGCATGGGGTTCAGAAAAGCCCCCCAGAACAAGAGCTGGGGAATCTGAAGGCTGTTAGTTACATTTCTCCTCTGGCTTTAGAGTCACACCATACCCGACATTTTAGACAAAATGGCCAAACTCCAGTGAGTATCTCTGGGAAGTTTTCAGAGAACCTCTTGGTACTTTTTCCTGTTCTTTGAAATACTTTAACCCCTTAGGATTCCTTTGAAGGGAAGCATATTGTGAATTTATAAAAGAGAATAAAGGCCGAACCCTCTGTAGATCTCTGGATTCATAGACAGGAAGGCAACATGGAGGCATCCTTCCTGTCTGAAGTCCTTTTGTCCACGTCTATTTTAAAGCAGAGCATTCATCACTTGATCACTGGCTCTCACATCTGTTGCCCTTCTTTCTCTCACTTACATTTCCACCCACCACTGCTTTTCCACCTTTCAAGGATTGATTTGTCCTTGGTATATCATAATGACTTTTGCTCCTGGTTTTTCTTTTAGCCCAAGGAAACTGTGGTGTCTCGTTGGCGAGCTGATCCCTGGGCCCGGGGCTCTTATTCCTATGTTGCTGCAGGATCATCTGGAAATGACTATGATTTAATGGCTCAGCCCATCACTCCGGGCCCCTCGATTCCAGGTGCCCCACAGGTGAGAACTGGCAAACTATCTGGGCTTATTTGGGAAGAGGCCCTGATTTTTTTTTCATATTTTAGTCATTCTATCTTTGGACCTTTCAGATAACCAAGCAGAGTTAAACGGATGGCACCATTTCTGATTTCTCATCATTTGGTTTTGTAAATCTAGGCAGCCTGCATTCAGAATGGAGGAGTCCAGAGTATAAGTCAAATAACATTTTTCCTTATTCAGGTTTTCCCCCTAAAAAACAAAACCATTTTTAATTGCACTTCCATTTTGTAATGGCTCACAGGATTGCTGCAAGGTCGCAATTACTAGGGGCTTCCAGGGCATTCCTGAGAAATAACCCTGGGTCCTTATCTAGACCCTTATGCCAGACCCCACTCCAAGAGCAGTAAGAATTCCTCAGTGTCATAGCCCAGACCTGCTCTGAGCTGCAAGGCTGAAGTGTCCCTGATCACCAAATGTCCTGTGCTTCAGGATAGTGAGGCTCCCTCCCAGAAGGTACTGAGGGAAGGACGCTCTAGAATTGGGTATCTAAACTGATGAGAACACGTTAAGCATCACTTTAGGACCGAGGCTAGGTGGAGTTTTATTGTCTCATTTCTCCTTGTCAATTCTTGGAAAATGCCTACTGATAAGGGAGACTCAGATAGAATGATGAATAGTAATTGGGGGGTCAGCCTTTACAAGGTCAACAAGAATTTAGTAATTTAAGTACAAGAGTAAAGGTGTATGTGCAGCCTGCCAATTTTCTTTTTCCCCTAAAACAGCCGATTCCACGACTCTTCTTTGCGGGAGAACATACAATCCGTAACTACCCAGCCACAGTGCATGGTGCTCTGCTGAGTGGGCTGCGAGAAGCAGGAAGAATTGCAGACCAGTTTTTGGGAGCCATGTATACGCTGCCTCGCCAGGCCACACCAGGTGTTCCTGCACAGCAGTCCCCAAGCATGTGAGACAGATAACATTCTAAGAGAAGAGGCCCATGTGCCTGTTTCTGCCGTATTAGCAAGGCTCTTCTAGCAATACTAGATCCCACTGAGAAAGTCCACCCTGGCACCTGGGCTCCTGATCGGCTGCTGGAGCTCCTGATTTGACAAGGGAGCTTCCCTCCTTTGAATGACCTAGAGCACAGGGAGGAACTTGTCTATTAGTTTGGAATTGTGTTCTTCATAAAGACTGTGAGGCAAGTGCTGTGAAGTAACATCTTAGTCTCGTTTTTTGTTTTTTTTAATATATTTTGAGAATAAAACTTCATATAAAATTGGCCCTTCTGTTCCTTTGGGTTGCAGTTACATACAAGATGGGGGCGTTACTCCTTTGGAAATGCCAAGTTTATCCTATGACAATAGTAATATATGTTTTCTCCATGTTTAAATAAGGAAGATGTTTATATAAAAGAGAAAAATGGTTTGATCAGGTCAGAAGATAAGGTGGGGGGCGGTCCCGTAGAAGCAGTGGATTTCCTAGTCAGTGGGACTAGACTTCCCCACTAGGGAGGGGTGTGGTGGTGTGCCAAGAACATAAGTATTAGGAAACTTTGGATGAACTTTCAAGATAAAACACAAGAGTGAAACAAAGTTTGAGCCTTTGGGAGACGAGTCTGCCTTTATTCCTGATTCCCTCCATGGGTACGTGCTAAAACTTCCCAATTCTACGAAAGCTGTTGGTGTACATTTTGGGAAGCACACTACGTAAGAGCAAGGGCTTAGGTAACAGCTGGTTTAACAAATTGCCACAAACTTAGAGGCTCTTAAAAAAAAAAAAAATCTACAGTTGTGGATGCTTAAAGTCTAAAATGGGTCTGCAGGGCTGCATTCATTATGGAGGCTCTCAGAGTGGGGAGGATCAGTTCATTTCCTTGCTCTTTTCAGCTTCTAGGGGTGGGAAGGCTTGTGGCTCCTACCTCCATCCACAGAGCACCTAACTCCAATCTCTGCCTCCATCATCACATTGCCTTCTCCTGTAGTCAAATCTTTGCCTCCCTCTTAAAAGGATATACCTGCGACTACATTTAAGGCCCACCTGGATCATCTAGGATGATCTCCCTCATCGCAGAATCCTTACCGGCAAAGTCCCTTTTGCCCATATAAGATAAAAACATGTTACATGCTGGTTCCTTACCAGGGGCTCCTGACAGATAAACTCAGTTACTACAAATCCAAGTAATGCCCCTTAAATGTGGTTTTATTCTTAGTATGAGTTAAGGGACATAATGTATATTGTTGGTCTGATGGGAAGATGAAAACAGAGAAGGCTTTTCCCCCCCCTAGTCTTAAGAATTCGTGACAGTATGGAAAGAATCTGCACACCAGGATCAGGGCAGGTGGCGGAACTGATGAAAGGTGAGGGCTGTGCACAGTGCATGGACCTCGGCATACACCTGCGTCTGAATCTGAGTTCTGCAATCAACATTGTTACTTCACGGGGATTAGCTAGGGTATCTAATCCGGGGTAGGTCTCTTAAGAGTTTTTGTTTTTTAAACAGATGGCATAGGCAGCTTGAGAGAGAGATGACTCTATCTGGCAACAGTGGGCAAGCCTGAAAATTAAATGTTGCAAAGAAATAGCTGCTGATTATAACTCTAGTTATGTGGGTCCTATGCATGTCCTTTTCTAAGCCTCAGTTAATGTTTCCAGTCCTTGCAGTATCAGTAATTGATTACGTAAAATACCCAGTTTTAAGCATCATACAATGAAATATACTAGAGCTGCATCAATGCATAGAAGACAGATACACAGAGATGACATTAACACTCGCATCACAGACTTGCACAGAGTATATATGGAAACGAGGGAGCTTTATTGGTTACATATTGTACTGCAGAGCCAACAGAGAGCATTCGCGCCAGAGGATACATGCAGACAGGCAGCTCCAACGATACACATGCACCCAAGGAGCCCTGAGCCACTGCTTTGCCCTGGTTTCCAGCGACAGGTTCCGGCCTCCTTGGTCCCATGCTTGGAGCAGGAATGTAGAAGCTGCTGCACCTAGGCTCCAAGGGGCAGGGGTGAGACCAGAGCACCTGCCTGAGCAAGTAGGTGTGGACCAACAGACTGCCCCCAACAAAGGGGCCTATAATGCAATAACAGTTTATTTGAGGGCTACCTTCTTAGCCCTCTCAATCTTTAAAATACAAAAAAATAGACTTTATTCTCTTAAAAATACATTCCATTCAGTATGTTCTGAGCTGGGAAGCAGCAGGAAAATAGGGCCCCTTTCTCCTATGATCTTGGTTGTAAGGTTTTGAGGAGAACCCTGTTCCCCACTCGGGGTATTCAAAACATAATCCCTAAAAGCAGCTCTTTCCAAAGCAGTCTTGTCAGAGAAATAACAAAACCTCCTAACAAGGTAGCCAGGGACCCAGCCTCTGGATCCCCGTTCCTTTATTGGGAAGTGGTAGCACTTGGCACTGACCCACTAAATATAAAGAACTAAAACTGCCCCAGGACGACAAGTCCAAGAACACTATAGCGCCCCCCACATCCCGAACACTCCAACGAGAGGGGGTTATTTATGTGCAAGCTTGCCTGCAGCTGAGGGTGAGGTGGCATCCTTGGCCCCACTGCAGATCCCTTTAACCCACACTGTGACTCTTTCATTGCCACCCAAAAGCAAAAAAACCGCCACCGCTTATTTATCCACCTCCAGCTTTCTCTGGTTTCGTGTCAGAGTGGCAAAAAAACAGCAGCAGGTGGAAGAGATCAGCTGCTGGTACTAAGCCAGCTCCACTCCCTCCAACCAAGCAGCTCTATTGCCAGGTCCCCCAACTCACTAGGAACCCTCCAACAACCATACACCTGCCAGTAAAATTTAAGAGCCAAGCTATGGAAGAAACTTGTCGTAAAAGTGGGTTTGCTGACTGGGGGCAGTGAGACTATTTGGCTTGATTAAACAACTATCCAACTACAGGTCTCCCCTCTACTTGGAGGCTTCCTCCAGGACCCCTGACGATGAGGCCTGGGTCCAAACAGTTACACCTCAGTTGCTTTCCAGAAACATGCCTCCCAACTTTGGGATCTGAGAGCCAGCCTTGCCAGCCATTTGAAGCCCAGAGAAACTGAGCCTCCAGCCTTTACTTGCTATTACTACGTTATTTTCTGCAATGCTGAGGACATTAAAAAATAAAATCTATCTAGAAAGTGTGCAGATTAAAGAAACAAAATATCCTGAAATAACTGTTACAATCAAATCCTATTGCACTCAGATTTCAAGATGACAGCCCCAGCAAAAGGGCTTCACAGCTGTCCCTCTTCCACAGGACATTTTGAGTAGCAGCAGATGTTGGTGCTGCTGAAATGTGGAAAGATCCAGACTTTGGCACCAGGAGCTATATAGCACCAGAATCCAGGGCTCCAACACCCAAACACAAGAATTATTGGCGAGATCTTTTTAAGCATGGCTTGGCGCCCTTCTGTTTCCATCAGCAGAGAAGAGCCACAGACTTAGTTTCCTATACCTTCAGTTGACCACCACGGAGGTTGATTTCCTTTGAACTCTCAAGGTTGCCAACCAGTGAAGGAGAATAGCAGGGAGGCCGCAAGTGAGGGACGGCAGCCTTGAGTGAGCTAGTTTCTGGCCAGTGAGCCAGGAGAAGCAGCAGGAAGAGATCCTGGAAATAGCATCTTGAGCATTAGAGGTGGGGATGTGGAGAGGAAAGGCAGGCCACATGACAATGCCTTTAGATTGACAACTCTAGGAAACAAGTATGAGCAATAGATTCCTGTCCCTGAAAGTAAGGTAGGTGCTCCCCAAGCCGCCTCACTGCCAAATCTGATGCAGACAAGGGCAGGATGAACACTGATTCCCATGCTGAGTGAAGGCAGGGAAGACCAATTCCTCTGGAGGAAATCTTGAGTCTTCCTCTTGCCAGAAGATTCATAGGAGATGCACAGGAATAGGAGATACACAGACTTGGGTACTTTCCATAACATCTAGACTCCTAGAAAGCCAGGAGATACTGTGTGGCACTGGACAAGGCTGATGCCACAAAAAGCCTCAGAGACCATCCGATCTAATCCCTTCACTTTGCAGACTGGGAAACAGGCCCAGGGAGCTTCTCTGAGCTCATCCCCATGAGATTAAAACATGAGGAAACTAAAAAACAAGGCCCAGAAAAACAATTGAGGGCAGGGGGGAAGAACCCAAATGGATGATACCTTCCAAAAGCAAAAATCATCCCATACTATTATACTATTTACCTGAGAACAGGTAAATCATCCCATACTATTACAGATGGTGAAAACAGGAGAACCTCAGAATACCAGATTTGGTGCCCTTAGAGATCATCCATTTCAAAGAACTCATTTTACAGACAGGGAAACTGAGGCTCCAAGGCGGCAATGACTCACCCAAGGTCACACAGCAAGGAAGTAAAGCCATGGGGAAACAAATACAGCTTACCAGACTGCTAGTTTAACATTGTCTCATTCTGAGGGCAATCGTGTCTGCTTCATAAAGGTAGCCTTTGAAAGAGGATCCCTTCTTTGAATTGAAAGAATGCTAAAGAAAAAGCAGTGCCAAGAATATACAATTCTTTTAAACTTCCCCATATGACTGGTATAAGGAACCTAACCAATTTATTTACGTGGCTTTCTGAAAGGTTTGCTGCATTTTGAACTACATAAACCTGAGGCCCTCAATGGGTATGTACGTATCACCTCTCCTCCAACGAAGTCATCATGATAGTCGACTTGCAGAAATCCGGGGCCCACTTCTGTAGGAATGCATCAGCTTGGTAAAGTGCGATGCCTCCTCCACGGGGGACAGAGGAGGAGGAACAGGAGGGAGTAGTCTCATAGTCCATGCCTCTCATGGAGCTATTGCTTGTGGAGTGACTAAAGGTGAGTCACTTCGGGTCTGCTTTCCCCCGTGCTGGGCACTTCCTAGAAGGCAGAGGATGCTGGGTCAGGCCCAGCTTAGCCTAGGGATTTTCCCAAGGTGGAAACAATGAAGAGAGAGCAGGCGATGCCAGCAGCATTACTGGTGCTCGGGAAACAAGATGCATGAGGCTTGCACCTCCAGGTGCCTTTGAAGGTGAGCAGAGAGAGCTGGGGTTGGGGAGCGATGATGTCATTCCAATGGGTATCCGCATGGGTATCTGCATGCTCTGCTTCCAGGAGACTGGTCAGCCAGGGACCAGGTCAAACTTCAACCTAAAGGGTAGTCTCAATCCTTCAGAGGCAGCACAGACCCCTTTCTGCTTTAAAAGGCTGCGGAAAAGAACTCCAGGGAGAAAGAAATGAAAGCCCCCTAGACGGAGCTGATGGCTGGTAAACCTTACGGGGTACTTGAGCCCACTGGGCAAATGAGGAATGAAGTGGATATAGTGAGACTGAGAAATCAGAACATTAACCACACAGACAGGGGCTGTCTTAGGATCCAGAAACAACCCACCAAGGAGCCGAGAAGAACTTTTGACTCCTGTGGTGTGGTGGGGACTTTATCTTCCCCCGTTTGGGGGCCAGAATGGTCCAACTACTTGGTTGACAGGGACAAGGAGAGAGAGAGGACTCGTGCATTGGGGAAGGTTGGGCCTGGGTGACTGTCCAGCGTGTAGTCTCTGATTCCCTCTGGCCAAATGGCAAAAATTACCTGAGCCACAGCCCAGCTCTACCAGAGTTTCCCAGCCAAGGCTTGTGTCTTGCCTGGTTAACTGGCCTTGGATCCTTCATGGGGCAGGACAGTGGAGAGCTAAGAAGCAGGAGCAGAGGGCAGACAGCAGACACCCAGCGGGTTCAGTTCTCCTCAGCACAGGGCCTGGTTGGCCGTAATTGTTCCTCGGCCCGTACTCGCCCAGGCTCTGGCAGCCCCTGTTTCCCAGGCAGTTCAGACGGATCCAGGGAGTTGTGCAGTTGCCTGTAGACACTGAGTGTACAGTCTTCCCCTTCTTCCTCCTGTGCCAATAGATAATAAAAGTGCACTGTGGAGATCAGTAAAGTGAGGAACAAGACACCCTCACCTGCTACCACAATGGGTCCCTTCCAACCTAGCAGAGGCAGATATAGCCCAGACAGGCCATAAGTTAACTGCAAAGATATGCTTTTGCCTGAGTACGGGCCAATATGTAAGTTCCTTGGAAATCGGGTAGACCGGGAACTCCAAGCTGCTAGGAACCATCAGGGTAGGCTAGGAGGAGGCTCACAACAGAACAGGAGCCTTACAGAGGACAGAGCCTGGAATAGATGCACGGGACTGGTACCCCTGAGGAGGGGCCAGCAGTCTGAGTTCTGCACATGCATGCAGGCTGCATGATTCTGGGGATGAGACCCATCCACATCCTTGGTGGGGAGCTGAAGAGAGGTCCGGACAGCTCTCTTCCTCCTTCCCACATACAAACTACCAGAAAGCTCACATGCCCGTCTCTCATCCTTTATCTCTCCTCTTAAATGTCCAAAGCTTCTGGGGCCCAAATAGCTGTCTTTCTCCCTATTCCTAGAATTCTACCTTTTTTTTGAGATGACGTCTCGCACTGTCTCCCAGGCTGGAGTGCAATGGCACAGTCTCAGTTCACTGCAACCTCTGCCTCCCGGTTCAAGCGATTCTCCTGCCTCAGCCTCCCAAGTAGCTTGGATTACAAGCACGCACCACCACACCTGGTTTCTTTTGTTTGTTTGTTTTTGAGACGTCGTTTCGCTCTTGTTGCCCAGGCTGGAGTGCAATGGCGCGATCTCGGCTCACTGCAACCTCCACCTCCCGGGTTCAAGTAATTCTCCTGCCTCAGCCACTCCCGGGTTCAAGTAATTCTCCTGCCTCAGCCTCCTGAGTAGCTGGGATTACAGGCATGTGCCACCACACCTGGCTAATTTTGTATTTTTAGTACAGATGGGGTATCACTATATTGGCCAGGCTAGCCTTGAACTCCTGACCTTGTGATCTACCCACCTCGGCCTCCCAAAGTGCTGAGATTACAGGTGTAAGCCACCATGCCTGGCCAGAATTCTATCTTTTTAATGTTTTCCTTGGTTCTCCCAAGCAAATGCAGATCAAAGAATAACATAGGCATGAGTTAGAAAGGTTAGCAGAGTAGAAAGAACATTGGATTTAGAGACAGGAATCTTGGATTCAAGTCTTAGCTCTTCCAGTAATTAAGCTGGGTAACCTTGGGTAAGATATTTTGTGTTTCTGACCCTTAGCTTCTATATCTGAAAAATGGGGATAGTATCTGCCCCCAGGCAGATATTCAAGGGACTGAATGACACAGTGGGTAGTGAAGTACTTTTGTCCAGTGTTAAGTACCCTGTAAAGAGTCACAGGCTTTTCAAGTTAATAGTCATCTGCTTTTTGTAAAAGAAGGGAGCACTGTGTCCAGGTCCAAACAGTTTTTCATCATCACGGGTTTCTAACTGAAAAGACACTCCCAAGGGCTTCTCCAGATGCTGTTCTGACACTCTGACCCTCACACTCACGTAAGGCAGGTGGTTCTGGATTTATCAAAGCTGTAATGAGCCATACTGAACCAGCCCTGCCCTCAGACTGATGATATGAGACAGACAGCTGTCTGGGGGGGTCAAAAGAAAGTGTCATTTGGAATTGGGTATAAGCTTATCTAAAATAGGCCCAGTGTAAGCCCCGGCTCTCCTCATCCCTGAGAGGCCAGCAGCCTGTGAAGATCTGCTAACTGAGGCAGCCGAGAACTTGCTGATCTGGCTCCCCATCGCTGTGCTCTACAGAAAGGGCACCAGGCCTCCTACTGTCGCTCAGAGCTCCCCAGCAGCTATAGCTGCTTCTTGTGCTTTTCGTGCTGCTCTGAGGTCCTACAGGGAGCTCCTTTAGCTGCTCCGGCAAACCAAGCGAAGAGAAGACATACTTCCTTTTTGTGTCGCCTTCATATGTGAGAGCAAAATGAAGACAACAAATTGGAAAAAGGATTTTGAAAAGTCATGCTGCTAAAAACCTTCTTTAGGAGAAAGGTCAAACCCACCTGATTTTTCAACAGTTCTTTAAGGAACCCAGTTCTACTCAGTTCTCAGGATCCTGGGTCACACAGGCCAGAGGAGAGGGGAAAAAGGAAAAGGCAAAGAAGGAAAAGGGAGAGAGAAAAGAGAGAGGGCAGAGAGGCTGGAACTCACCATGCCTGCTGAGTGGTTCCAGGCTGCGACAGTGATGGTGTCTCCTACCCGATTCCGACGGGTAAGCACCTCTGACACAGTGAGGCTACTTTGGGTCCTTCTGGAGGAGGGCTCAGGGGCATCCCCTGAACTTAGTCCTACCCTTCGAGTGCCCTGCTCAAAAAGGTAGGCCCTGGGCTGTTCAAGTTCTGAGAAGTCTGTGGAAGACCTCTGGGTGTAGGCATTGGTATTGGCAGATTCCATGTTTTTACCTATTCGAGTTGGGGGGTCTTCTAAAGATTTCAAGTCTCGCCTACTCTTCCAGGCATTCCGCACAGTAACATGTCTGGCATCTGAGGAGCCCACTTCTGAAGGGGCACTATGGCTTTTCCACCTGATTGTCTCCGCTGGAGGTGCATGGCTATTCCTCTCCACAGGATCCGATGGCTTGATTATAATGCTGCTCCGAGACACCACTGTTTCTGGCCTGTTCTTCAGGGGCCCATCTGCCATTCTCTCCGCTTCTGCAAGCTGCAGGGTGATGTCATGTTTGTGAATGGAGAGCTCAAAAGGGGAGCTGACATGGTTGCTAAATGATGTGAGCTCTGCCGGCCCCACCTGGATATTGCTGGTGGATGTGTGCCTCTCCCTCAGGGCCTCACCCAGAGCAGCTCTGGGGCTGCTGCTGTCAGAGGGATAGATAGTAATGCTACTTGTCACTTTGTTTGGCCCTGGTTTGGAGACAGGTTTCTGTTTCTCCAACGTAGTCTCTGTTCCAGATCCTCCCATGATTTTTTTCACATCCTTATCAACAATAACAGGTTTGATGATGGCTCTAGACCGCAACGCCTCTCTGGGGCTAAAGGGCCTTTGGCTTTTTACCCCAGCACCATTGGTATCTGGGAGCTCCATGGCATTGGTGGAGGCTCTGACAGATTTCACAGATTCATTCCCTATTCCAGCATCTTTATCATTCTCAAACAGGGAGGTTCTAGGTACCCCTCGGGCTTTGGCCTTTTCTCTAGAGTTAGGCTGTGGTTTGGGCTCGGGCTCTGGAGTGATGGTTGTATTTACCAACTTGGCAGTAACAAGAGATGCTATGTCCAAGTCATCATCTGAGTCTGGCTTCTCTCTGCCACTGGATTTGATGACTCGACACCTCAAGGCTTCATGCTGACTGCTGTCTTCCATCACAACTGCTGCAGGTTGATCAACCCCTTCTCTATGTGAGGTTGAAAATCCCTGAAGGATGTTCTCTTGGCTTCTAGAGCTATAAGGATACTTTGATAAAACAGGAGCCTTGGAATTTGAGGAACTGGTATTGGCCTCAAGGCCATTGGCAGCCTTTTTGCCTTTAGAGAACCCTTCTGAGGAGGATCTTCGAGATGAGGCCAGAGTTCCAATGGCCTTAGAACAGCCAGAGTTTGCAGCGTGAGTTACTTGACTTCCATTGCCAGGCACATGTCCCCTCTTGCCAAAGACAGACTCAGAGGAGGTGTCAGAAGCCTTGTCAGCTCTACCCAATGTGTCACTGGGAACAGATCCGTGGGTGGTGTCACTAAACGTTCGTGTTGTCTTCTCCACTTTTCCCTTCAGTCCACTCTCGGTGCCCGGCTTGGGAGTCCCCTTCCACGCTTTACTGTGCTCCTGAGCAGCTGGGGGGTAGCGACTCAGCACTGAGGGCTGCTCCCTAGACTTCTTCCCTTCGCTCTGGGAGGATCCGGGTGCAAATCGGTCTTCAGTTTTCTTTGTCTCCTGAGTTCCACTGTCTGTACTCGCCCCCATGTGAGAAGCTTTTGCTGCCCTCCTGTTGGCGAAACTGGGAGAAGAAACCTGCCTGTTGCTCAGAGAACAGTTTTCATTGTTGAGAGCAAACTCCCTGTTCCGGAGTCGTTCCCGCTTATGCTGAGGAGACAGTTCCCGTGCTGTGTGCCTGGACGCAGGAGCCTCACTTCCGTGGCCTCTAAACTTAGTCCTCTCATGTCTGCCTTTGCTGGACAGGAAAGCATCTTCCCCTTCTACCTCCCCATTTTCTAACTCTTTCTGTTTCTTGATTTGTAGCTTTATCTCCTCCAGTTGGCTGGCTAATAATTTGTTTTTATTTTGCTCACTTAGGTAATTATCCTGAAGGTCATTATTTTTGGCTTTCATTTTCTTAAGCTCTTCTTCCAACGATTCAAAGTGTTTGATTTGTGTTTTAAGTTTCTCAATCTCCTGGTTAAGGTCTTTGACTTTGTTGTCTTCCTGATTGCGGTTCTTTTCATTTTCTGATTTGTTTCTTGTTTCATTCTCTGCCTGCTTTAGGTAGTCCAGAGTACCCTTCCTTCTTGATTCTTTGGACGGCAGTGTAGAAGAGATGCCATCCTCAATCCGAAGGTCATTTCTTTCCAGATTAGAAGCATTCCTTGTATAATCTCGGTTCATTTTTTTGTTCTGCTCTAGTTTTTGAGTGAGTTCTTTTATCAATTTCTCATTTTCTTTCTCCTTTTCATTCAAGTATTTTCTCTCACTTACAAAGCTCAGAGTTAATGATTTCAGCTTTTCTAACTCTGACGCTAAACTCTGCTCAGTTTTATCCAAGCGGTCCTCAGAAGATTCTAGTTCTTTCACTTTGACTCTGAGCATTTCTAGCTCAGAGGAGATTTTCTTGGTCAGATTTCTCTCCTCATTCAGGCTCAAACACAGCTGGGTACAGTCATTCTTACTCCTGCTGAAGGCCTCTTCCAGCTTCTCTAATTCAGCCATTCGTTTCTGAAGCCGCTCAATCTCAGATTTCAGCTCCCGGGTGAGGTTTTCTTCCTCTTCAAGTTTCTCCTTCATCAGACGACACAGATCCTCTGCTCTCTTAATCTCCTCGTCTTTGCCTTCAATTCTCAGCACCCGCTGGCGCAGCACTTCAATCTCCGCCAACATGCTGGAGTTGCTACCTTCTGCCTGAATCACCTTGTCCTGGAGATCCAGGAGCTCATCCTCTGCTTTCTGGAGGTTTTTTGTGGCTTCCTCCAACTCATCAAGGCGGCGGCTTAGACTCTGTAGCTTAAATCGCAAGTGGCGGCTGGAGGCCGTCTCCTTGTAGCTTGTAAATTCAGCCATGTCTACTGCCAGCCAATGTGGACTCCTAGAGGCATCCAACTCCACTCAAGGGGATGAGAAATGGTTACCTTTCTCTTGGCAACCACAATCTTCTTTGACAGCTGGAGACCATCATCAATCTATGGAAGCAAAGTAGAAAGCACATCAGTCAGCAAATGTAAAACCTGCATGTTAGCTCCCAGTTCTAGAAAAGAGCTCCTATCTGTTCCTGGTGCCTGGATCATAGGAGGGGCTCAAACTCGTTGAATGAATGACAAATAAACCTGCAAGAAAACACTGGTTCTTTATGGCCGATATTGAGTTGATACCTCGTTTCGCCCTAATAAAGAATGTCACCAGTGGCAGCATGGCAAAAAGACGTATAAGAAGCCTCAATTCTCATGGCAGGGTATAGTAACATCATTACCACCTGCAACCTGCATAATCTCAGGAGAGTCATTAACAATGTAAACTGAGCCTCAGTTTTACTTAGTGGTAAAATGGGCATAATGATGTCTACCATATTTCTCCCCAGTGTTGTTCTGAGATAATATGTGGAAGATCTTGGTAACAAAGCAATAAACAAACCTAAGATTATTAAAAAAAAAAAAAAAAAAAAAAAATTATCTCTTATGAGCTATTGTGACTTAAAAGTGATACAAATTAACCCATCTGCCTTGCTATAAATGGTGAGCTTCACAATATACTAAAGCAATCTCTCCACGCCCGTTTTCAACATCTCTTCTCCCAAAAGTGTATTTGTAAGTGGAATTCAGGTGTGAGTTGGCCCGACCCAGGCAACAGGCAGCTTCTACAAAATGTATCCTTTGGCACTGTAAGACAAATGTCCCAGATGTTAAGGTTGATATGAAGACTGGTTTGTTTCTTTGAAAGCCATTTCACTAGGGATATATACCAAACATATAATAATACCCCAAGGAAAGAGAGAAAGGGGAAAGTTTAGTTTTTTTATGTAATTTTCTCATTTTTAAAACAGGAGAATGGATTAATAAAGGTATTTTAAACAGCCTTCATAAACAATAAGTCCTACGAAATTAAAAGGCAGACAAGACTTCCACTTCCACCACTATGGCAAACCAGATAGACTGGAAAACCTCTAATACTATAAAACAGCTAAAAATACTGAATAAAATGTAACAATCACTTAAAATGTGTAGTTGATCACACAGAAAGTAAGTGACATTCCAGCTAAAACCAGAAGAAAAGAAGACTAAATGAAAAAGAATAGTAAGTTTAAACTACCACTGAGCTGTCCTTATTAGTGTCTTGCTGATCTCCAGAACCAAGGAGTCTGGGTTCTAACAATCATGCAGGTATAAGAGACAAGAGTCTGGGCCCCATAGAGGTGGTAAGTTGAAAATGAGACTTCAGTCCCCAATCTAAAGCAAGGACTATTGGAGAACTACAGCTTCAGGATAACTAGTGAAAAAAGTTACCTCCCTGATACAGGGAGATAACAGGACCTGGGCTCCATTAGGAGTTAAAGGAGGATTATCCCTAGAGAATTTGTCATCTTAGACCTGCTCTCACTTGAATTCAGAGTTCAAATTTATACCACCTGAGTGGTCCAGAACCTATCTGTTCTGAGAAACTAGCATAAAATGGCCATCAGCCTAGTAATATCCCTGGGAAACCTAGCTGAGCAAACAAAAGTACTCTGAAGGGAGCTCCTCTCTACAGAGGTCACACAGGATTCCCACAGATTAAAGTCCAGCTGAACCCAAGCTTATAACTAAAAATTACAAAACACATAAAGATCCATCTTTTACTATAACTGGGCAGAGCAAGTTTATACCAAAAAGAACCAAAGTTACTAAGATTATTGGCTAGAAACCATACATAAGTACATTCCAATGTTTAAAGTCATAAAAGAAGGAATGAAAAAACAGGAGAAAGGAACAAAGTGCTATCAACAAAGATCAGAAAATCTGAAAATTAACCACATACAACAGCTACAAATAGAAAAGAGAAATGGCATATTAGAGGCAAAGGAAGATATTAAAAAATAGTGATCAAGAGAGATATGAAATTACAAAAAGCAGCACAGAGTTAAAAAGATGGAAAAGGTAAAAGAGAGGTTAACAGACAGGGGAAATATAAATTAAAAAGGTCCAAAACAAGGAAGTTTAACAGGCAGCCCAAAAGGATAGAATACAGAATGGGGAACAGGCAATATCTGAAGAGCCAGCAGGTAAGAATTTTCAAGAGTTGATTAAAGATATGGAACCTCACATTCAGGAAGCAATGTCCCAACAGGAGAAAACTAAATCTGCACCTAGACACATCATAAGGATACGGAAGAACATACCACAAACAGAAAATCTTTAAAAAGCAAAAAGAAAAAAAAGACCATTGTCTCAGTCCATTTGTACTGCTGTAACAAAATACCTGAGGTAGTAATTTATCAGAACAGAAATTGGTCAGGTGCAGTGGCTCACGCCTGTAATCCCAGCACTTCAGGAGGCCAAGGCAGGAGGATCACTTGAGGTCAGGAGTTCAAGACCAGCCTGACCAACATGATGAAACCCCGTCTCTACTAAAAATACAAAAATTAGCCGGGTGTGGTGGCGCACACCTATAATCCCAGCTACTCGGGAGGCTGAGGCAGGGTAATTGCTTGAACCCGCTGGATGGAGGTCGCAGTGAGCTGAGATCGTGCCACTGCACTCCAGCCTGGTCAACAGGGCAAGACTCCATCTCCAAAAAGAATAGAAATGTATTTCCTCACAGTTCTGGAGCCTGGGAATGTAAGATCAAGGCACCAGCAGGTTTGGTGTCTGCTGAGGGCTCAGTCTCTGCTTCCAAGATGACATCTAGAATGCTGTTTCCTCACAGGGAAGAAGGAATGGAACGAAAACGGTTGAACTCGCTCCCTCAGACCCTTTTTTAAAGGTGCTGATCCCTAATATTACCTCCTTAAAGGTCCTACCTCTTAAAGTTGTTGCACTGGGGGTTAAGTTTCAACACGAATTTTGGAGGAAGCAAAAACATCCCAAACACAAAAACAATCTATAATAACAACTGAACCACTTCTCAGCAGAAACTTTTAAGTAGGTGGCAAGTAGAATGGACTATAGGGGATATGGGTGGGAGCAGGAAGACCAAATAGGAGGCTATTGTAGTAATCCAACCAAAACACAGTTATGGCCTAGATCAGGATGGTGACAATACACGCGTTCCAAGAGCACATGACCAAGACAGTTGAGAAATGGTCAGAATTCTGGCTGTAGGAAGGTACGACCAAAGGATCTGCTCTTAGACTACATGTTAAGCATGAAGCAAAGAAAGGAATTAAGAAGCCGGGTGCAATGACTCATATCTATAATCCCAGCACTTTGAGAAGCTGAGGTGGAGTTCAAGACCAGCCTGGGCACAACACAGTAAGATCCCGTCTCTATAAAAAGGTAAAATAAGATAAAATTAGAAAGTGCAGTGGCATACACCTGTAGTCCCAGCTATTTGGTAGACTGAGGCAAGAAGACTGCTTGAGCCCAGGAGTTTAAGGTTTCAGTGAGCTATGACTGTGCCACTATACTCCAGCCAGGGTGACAGAGCAAGACCCTATCTCTAAATAAATAAGCAGATAGATAGGTAGGTAGGTAGGTAGATAGATAGGAATTAAGGTAGACTCTAAGGTGGCTGGGCTGAATTTGTAGACGGACAGCATTATCATCAATTCAAATGGAGATGACCGCACATGGAGCAGTCTGAGAAGGAAGATGAAGACTTTCATTTGGGACATGTGTATGAGATGTGTATAAGATGTGTAAGGGCCTACTTGAAATTCCTGGTAACGATTTAAAGTGAAACCAATCAACAAAGTTCTATCTTTTTCTCCAGTCTTGTTCAGCTGGTTGAACAGACGAAAGAATAGAGAAACCAGAGTTGGACTGAACCAGGTCGAAGCACTGCATAACAAAGCAAGAGAAGGACAGGAGAGCAGAGGATGTGTGTGAGGGACTTTAAATTCACTCTGTATAGAAGGAGGTGACGAATAGTGAAAATATAATAGAAACTAATGAATTGAAGGGGACTTGAAGGCTTATTGGAGTAAGGGTACCAGGTACCAGAGGAAATTAAGCCTGAAATATAGAAGACAGAAATCAGAGAGGGACTTCAAGGAATTGAAATCATGGAGGGACTGTAGTTATTGATAATGTCAAAAACGAAGTATAATTATAGGAATCCTGCGGGGAAGTAGGGAGAAGTAGAAAACAAGATCATTGGAAGAGAGAAATAATTGAGAGGTAAAGGTGTTACAAGGGTCACCAGCATGTAAGCACCACAAATTAACAGGAATAATGCTGGAAAGAGTGACGTTAAGACAGAATCTGAAGTTGTTGAGAAGGTAGGGGCAATGACTCAGGGCATCAATAGATGACAGCAACAACAGGGTATTAGGTGATGTTGTCCAGTAAGATTGCATTTAAAACTCACGGATAAGAGTGAAGAAACAGTCTGAGACATAAGAGAAAAACAGCCACCACTGTAGAGGGAAGAAATGACTCCAACAATGATCCTATGAGAAAGCTCAGGGCAAAAGAAAAACAACTGAAATTGGGCCTGGCGGAGACGCCAAATGCCAATTCTCTCCAAGCCTGATTCTTCTAATGGCTGCACTATAATCCTAGAGCCACCAGATGGGGCTCAAGCTCAGCTCCTCAAAAACACCAATGCTTGAAGCTGTTGAAAAGACCAAGCCTCCCCCTTCCATTCAGGTCTTGCCCATCCGATTACAGCTCCCTGTCCATCACTCGGTTTTTCTGGGTACATCTTTCTCTGTCCTCTCATCTTTGCCTCTTTTGGTCCCCCTTCTCCTTTCCCCAGCCTACCTGCTTCCTCATTCTCAAAAACATAGAGGGAAAAAACCTTCTATGTTTATGTTTTTAGAAGGAAACCTTTTCCCTTTTAAAAACTTGCCTTTGGCCTTCTGCCCAGTGGTACAATTAAAACCTTGTCAACTTATACACAGTGTTGGTTTGGGGGGACTTAACTAAGTTTAGACCACATACCAATTTTAAATGAGTGTATGATACAAAGGATCTGTGTTCCCATCATAGTCACTGGAAGACAAATGATATATGATGCATCTATAAAGTGCTTTAAAACAGCATATCGT